TTATATCATGTGTGTATATTTGTCTTGACACACCTCAGATGTAATATATACTTGCACTCAATAATTTAGTTTGGAGAAGTTAGTTATATCGATAACACTACTTGTATTTCTTCCCCCATCCCAGATACTGTATATTCGGAAACGGAAACGGTAAGTTTATAGTTTATAAGTTATATATAAGATTTTATTTGCAGATCCCGCAACCAGGCAAGGCTGGATTACCAATATTTCTGTAATCTGATTATTTAATAAATACATTTGCTACAGAATTAGCACCACTAAAATATAGTATCAACCTAAAGCAAGTCCTACAGAATTAGGTTATTCTGTGGCTGTGTCAAAATCTAGTTTTAAAGGCTCATGTATATTACTTTAGTTTATATATTATATTGTCTCCATGTGGTCCATATTGCAACACAAACTAATACAATGCAAGCATCATTACAACACAGGCGTACTGGTTGCAATGGAGGAACCACAGGTTATATACACATTGCACAGAGGACAGTAGATGGAGGGTTAGTATGGGCCAGGAAATCTTTCACCATTTTTAACCTACTAGGGTTAATCCAGCATTGCAACAAAGCATACTTTCTACTTACTTAAATGCTGACTGGTCTTCACCTCTAAACACTACTCATGCAGGTTGGAGAAGCTGAGGCACCAACTCATGCCCATGTACAACTTTGACCCGGCTGAAGAACAAGATGACCTGCTGGAACAGGAACTACTGGACCATGGCCGGGAAGGCAGCCTCACAGGTCCCAATGCCAAGGTGAGCTGGAAAGTGTTTGGTAGTGAGAGTTCTTGTTTTCTGTACCCTCACATGAACCACTTTATCTGTTTGGCAACTGTCTTATCTAGAATGAAAATGCTCCCATTCAGACCACAAATGGTAAATGTTTTCAATGACCACAGAAGCCACAATAAACATATTTCATTTTCCTCCATATTCTTATATACATTAATGGAAAGTTATGAGCAGTGGTTTAGACAGTGTTTGTCATTATCATTAACAAAACACAAACTTCTATCAAAATATGAAAGGATGTTCATTTGGATGTACATTTTTTAAATAATTTCTTGAACCAATTCTTGTAGCTTGGGCTAGCTGTAGATTTAATTAAGTCTATCTGTAGATTTTACACGTTATGATAAAATCTCTATTTTTGCCATATCACAGAACATGTGTGCTTTCCTTAAGGTTGCTGATTAGGTAATCCACACTGTCAGTTTATTTTATTCCATTAATAGCTCTAAATCTGTAATTGTCAAAACTCATCTTTATTTTCTTTTATTTCTTTTAAGTTTTGACAATGGCATATTGGTTAAAGGCAAACATGGTAAAGTATCGCCTGTGTGTCTTTTGGACCATCTCTCTAAACCTCTTTTTTTCCCCACATTCCTCATTCTTTCAGTATCTCATACAAAAACTAGTAGGTTAGATGTCGTTTAATAGATTTTTATGTATACATTTTATATGAACTAATCCATAATTAAGTAAATGCTTGCAGAGGACACAACACACTCACACAAAGTCTTTACCTTACATCCATATTATCTTTCATCCTTTCCTTTGTGCTCCCTCAACTTATACTTACTTTAACATGAAATATTCCAGGGGCCACATGAGCACACATATATGCAAAACACCATCTTTGGGGTTATTTCAAATAATGACATCCAACTTGATATATTACACACACCATCACACAATGAAGTCTTATAGTGGTAGAATAAAGTCTATAGTGATATGTTGAACAATACATAGTATGTTTTAGTGCAGCTTTATTAATGTTAAATGGTATTCGAGGGATTTTTGTAATTTCATGTAATTTCATAACATGAAGGTGAGCTTACGATCTCAAGCTCAAGGACCACTTACTAGCTTTTACCATCGCTTTCAACTGCATCTTAGATGTGGCAACTGAGCTAATCCCAGGACATGACATAACTGTGGCAAACTCATTGATGAAATACATGAAATGCAGTTGAAAGCCTGCAAAATAGCTGGTAAGTGGACCATGTGGTGTGTTCCATTTACCTTGGAAGTCGGAGCTGGGAATGACGTCACACCCGAGTTGATAGCCTTGCAGTTAAACAGCAGATTTAAGTCGGAAAACCAAGACCGATGCCTCTGGCTATTGTTAGCAATACCAATGGCTAACAAGACATTTCTATGGTATTTTGCTAATTTTACACACCGTAGCAACATGTCTACAAATATAAGTTGGACAGGACTGTATTTAATGAGACTCAAATAAGAGAGAAGTGCGATAAACAGTATGACTACAGCTTTCACTACTGTTGATTCCAGGAGCAGCCATCTTGGATTTTGAGGTCATTGTTGGTGCGGTTCTCCCGACTTTCAGAGTCGGAAATCCAACTTAACTTATCCAACTTCTGACTTGGAACTCAGAAATTCTGACTTCCCATGACTTCCAATGGAACTCACCATTAGTTAAGATTATTTTGTCCAATGCTTGTTTCTGATGCCCACTGCATTGAGAGGAATGCATTTTTAACATATATCTGAAGATTCTCAGTCATCCAGGTCATAGTTATCCAAGGAGGGTTAAAATCCCAGTCCCAGCTATTTATCTCTAATTATCAAGGTGATGGATACCATTTGGTTCGTTAGTGCTCCTGGCTGTTGTAATGACAGCTGGTATGGTAGTTAGAATCACCTGAGGCCAAGTCTGAATGATCGTCATTGGCATTGTCACACAATGTAAGCGTTTGTTCAATTTCCTGGTAAGTTATGTAAGGACAGCATTGTAGTTGGAGGTGCTGTTGCAGACCTCCTCACCTGAGAGATGGTTTCTTTACTTTGGTGTAGATGGCTTCCTTCACTCCTCTTTCGAACCATCTGTCCTTCTTATCCAGAATATGAACACTGTCGAAGGAGTGTCCTTTATCCTTCAGATGTAGGTAAACTGCCTCAGTCTTGACCTGAGGAGTTTGCCTTTCCTTCTGTGTTGAGCCATATGTTTGTGAAGTGCTTGTTTCCCCAATATACCGGTCTCTGCATTCTGCACTGCACTGGACAGCATGCACTAGATTGCTTTTCTTGTGTTTGGGTGTTCAGTCTTTCGGGTGGACCAGTGCCAGTCTTAGTGTGTTCTGTTTTAAAAACCACCCATGGTTCAAAGACAAGTGAAAGAAGCACCAAAGTAGAGAAACCATCTCTCGACAGGGGATAATGCAAACACTCAATCTGGCCTCTTGTGACAATGCCAACAACATCTAATGAACCAAATGGTATCCATCACCTTGATAAATAGCTCAGACTCCCTGCCAGTCAGTTAGAATTAAAGAAGCCTCTTGAACAAAGATGTCTAAACAGCTTCACGTATCTTCAATCAAGTCCAGTTGCCTTTGTGCACACATTTGAACCCTCCTTGGACATTCTGAATATACTTTATTTAGTAATTTTACGAAGTGAACTTACTACACACCCTAAACAGTTTGCATAGTCTATGATTTTATACATGTGGCCTCTGGTCCTAACACACTTTCTCTGGTTTCAGTAATCAATCCCATTCCTATTCCTAAAATATTAAGTTGATTTAGCTATTTTGATGGTCTTAAAATGAACAAAACAGAAGGTTACTGTGGGACAACTAACTGTTCTCATGGTTTAGCACAATTCAAGTTTGGAGTCACCATGTAATCGTAATGTCACTAACGATTTTATCTTCTCGGCAGACTTTAACAACCTCCCAGGGGACTACGCAGAGGCCCAGTCGTTTGGTCTTTACAGATGTAGCCAAAGCTCTTAACGCTTAACAGCTCTCTCCATTAGTTGATTTCAGTTTGCAGTGGCCACTGTCCCTTATCGAGTTAACAGACTGTCACTCAGGAAGGAAAACAAAGGGACACCTGGACTGTTTTGGGGAACAACTGGAGCTTTGATGAAATTTTCATCACTAGGACACAGTATGTGACATGGCAGTCATGAAAAAAACAAAAAAAACGTATGGTGCATGTATGATAAGGGAGCATCACATATGATCTTGCACTGTTATCATGTGGCGCGCAAATGCAGTGTGGTGCACTTTCATTGCATCATGTTGTGTCATTGCTGTTAAAATGTTTGGTAGCTTGTCAGTGAAGTTCTTCTGAGCTTCAATATCTACTTCCATGTTTGATATGAGAGAAGTGTAAGTTTGTGTAATACTGATTTTGTGGTCTTACGTGTCTGACAAGCTTGAACACTGGATGTGTTACCCTCCTTAAGTGAACTGTCCCTCCTTATTTTGTTTCTTCTCTATTGAACAATGAAGAATTGTTTCTGTCTGCATACATTAAAACTATTTAAACCAATTTGGAAAAAAATGGTTTTGTTGTACAAATTTATAACAAAAGAAGAGTTGTTAGGTGGGATATTTTATTGATAGCGATAAAATCAATAAGTGATAAAAGAAGCTGAATAACACAAATCACATGGTAAAGAATCATAACAACATATATATCACAGGTTTGTGAGTTGTATTAATGAAGTGGATGAGGACAAGTCAATAACATAACTACTAAATGGTGTTAAAGGTAAGGCATTAAAGATGATTTCTCAAGTTACATTCCAACTTTTCAATAGTTGAAAATGGATCAAGTACTGTATGTAACTATAACTATATCAGTTAGATCACAAAATACATCGTCCCCATATAGAGAGTAAATATCCAGACACAGCTCGTGTAAAATAACAAACATTGACCCAGTCTTAGTTAAATTAAGAGGCACCCTTCAGGCTGACTTCCATTCATTATGGCAATATGAATGTAGTGAGATGAGATGAGCGGACTACAACAGTACTAGTTTGACAGTTATTTCAAGATTTCATGAACCACGTCGCCTGCAGGCTTGATAGAAAAGGTTAGGCATAACTAACCAAACATTTCCTCAGAGATGTCCCAGGCTTGTTAGTTTTCAGAGGTAGTCCATAGGGCAAACAAGGTAAAGTCAATGCAGTTGAACAAGAAAACATACCTCTCTATAAATGAATTAAGCTCCTCTGGCAGCAATTTATTCAACAATGCTGAAATACATCAAACTATTGGGATACAACAAAAAATAAGCACAATTTAAGTGGGAGAAACAAGTTGATATACAGTAAATGGTGGGTGATATTCAAGTCACCTCAACAACTGTTAAGTGATACGTAGTTCATGTTGGAAATGTCAGCCATGCATGATGACACAGGGGCAGAATCTTAGGAAATTTAAGTATTTGCAACAGTTAGTCAGTTTAAGTGCAGAAATCCTGACCAACAAGGTCTCAAAAACCTATTGGAGGCTGGAAATCTCTTTACCTCTGATTTTGATTTTTAAAAATAAAGAATTTGGTATAAGATTATCTCCATGAGGATAAAGACATCCCCGGTCCTCCAAAATACTAATATTATTCTACATTTATATGACTAGTTGTTATGGTAAGTTATTACTGATTCAATGTACTACTTTTTAAAAATAATGAGTTTACCATAAAGCATCAGTTCTACCAAATTACACACACATTTTTACACTTGACCTCCAGTGGTATCTAATCATGTAGATATTTTTGTTTCTCTTTTCAACACCATGAACACAATAGTGAGACCACAAACAAAATTCCATTCATTGTATTGAGGCGCCACAGACGTATCAGAAGCAGATATCTTAAAACCAGGCAGAATAAAACCAAAACGATCTGCATGGCTGGATAGCACTAGAGGTAACTGAGAGTCTGACTCTTTTTGTTATTTGGGTGAACGGACCCTTTAAAGCAAGACTCTGACTTTTGAGCAAAGAACCCAAATTAAAAAGTATAATTAATGAACAGTAAAACACACCCTCAATTCAATACAATTGGGGGGTTTCCTGCTGCAGTCTCACTTGGTCTGGTTCTGTATGAGCAGTAACATACGGTAGCTAATGTTAGCAAACTTCAGATAGAAGTCACTTAATAAAAAATGTTAAGTCAGTTTGTTTGCTGACTTTATAACTCCTTTGTACTTGTGCTTCTGTTTCACCAAAAGTTATAGCTTCACTTTTAATAGCCAAATAGGAAAAGGGGATGCTTGTTTTGTTGTTTTCCAGAACTGTCATGTGTTTCAGCACTGTATGGTTGTTTGCTGCCTTTCCTTTCAAATCACATGAATTAAAAGTGTCACATATACAATTTACAGTGTAAGAATCAGAAAATACATGATGTAGTAAAAAATGAGAAAGAAGTAAGCGACCCAAAAAAAACAAGTATTTCATAAGGAACTACACCCTAAAAAGCAAGTATTTAATCAAGTTGTTGTAAACTATTGGCTGCATTTTATTTCCCAGGAGAACAAACAAAGTCTCACTTCAGCTTTTAACAAATACAGTTTTTAAAAAAAAGAAATGACACTGATGCTTTTATTTGTACACCGATAGTAAAATCCTCTGCTGGACTGTACCGTCTGTTTCTGTGTGTTGGTATGTAAACCCTTTGCCTGTCTGAGTTGTATATCTGCACATGAACCTGTCTCTGTGTGTGTGTGTGTGTGTGTGTGTGTGTGTGTGTGTGTGTGTGCGCGCGCACAGTAAATGTGTCTGTCATTGCTGCTATGGGTGTGCGAGAATAACTTTGTTGGAGAACATCTGTCTTTTGTGTTACTGAGGTAGAATGAGAGATTAAGAAACTGAGGACAACTGAGGCTTAAATGAGGTCTTTGTGTCAAGGCATACTGGTAATGTCAAATACAGGTCAGAAGTGCACAACAAACACAGCACAATAATTATCACTGAGTAGACTGACAACATGTTCCTGAATAGTTTTGTACCTGAGGTTTCAATATGGTGTAAAAGCACTGTAATAGTAAAATCCTGAGTGTGGTAAAATGACACGTCAACACTGTTGTTGACTGAAAGTATATATGAAGGCTTTCTTTCCAAAATGAGATGTCCATTTAAACCTTTGGGTGCTTTTTTTTCCTGCTGGGTGGAAGGAAAATAAAAGGATTTCACTGAGGTTATTAATCTGTACGCTTGCTTACGTTGGCATTTAAGCTATGTAATCCTATGAATGTTTTATTTTGAGCAAAGAACATAACACATTTCTCTCCTCCCACATTGGATATTTCATTTTGGAATAAAAACCTTTCACCTCTACTTTCATAATAATGACTTCAGCACACCATGTTTACATTGTTAACATTGATAAAAATGTCACCGTCTTGCTCCCATTTCATTTGAGGATTCATGACGCTTGATTTAGAAACATGTTTCAATAAAACGGTTTAGTTTGGTTCCTTTTTTCTTAAAATCCCCCCCTCTCATTTGAGCCCACAACCCCTACACACACACACACACACACACACACACACACACACACACACACACACACACACACACACACACACACACACACACACACACACACACACACACACACACACACACACACACACACCCCTTATATGAATTGACATTTTGTGAAATACACTTCTTGGCTTTCTTACCTTGAGTTAGATGAGAAAATTGATATGAAAAACACTTAGTTTAGCTTAGCATAAAGACAGTTAGCTCAGCTCAGAAGGTAAGAAAACTGCCGAACACCACTAAAACTTAAAGGCACATAACTCCTGTAAAAACTAAAACTGTTATTTTTTACACTTTGGTTTGTGTACAAATTAAAGATATTTAGATATGACATGTTAATTGGTGAGCATTAGAGATGCTGATAGGTAGATTTTGATACCTTTGCATAAAGCCAGGCTAGCCGTTTCCCTCCGTTTCCAGTCTATGTGCTAAGCTAAGCGAATCAGTTGCTGCAGGCAGTAGGATAACAGACATGAGAGCGGCATCATTATTCTCATCTAACTCTCAGCAGTAAAGTATTTATCCAAAATGTCAAACTATTCCCTTTAAAAAAAAAAAACATATCCAAATTATTCAACGTTAAAATAGAGCTTGTTCACCAAACTCTTATAGTGAACCAACAAAACCAGGGTACAGTATCGGATCAGGAGAAGAAACCGCCGTCTTCAATGATTTTGTGTTTGTGTGTGTGTGTGTTTGTGTGTGTGTGTTTGTGTGTGTGTTCATTCCTGAATCCTCATCACAGATAGGAGTCAGACTGTACCCCTGTTTGTTTGAGGCCAAACCTTGAGGTAGGTAGAGAGGCATCCTATCTACTCCCCTTCCTCCTGCGCTGGAGCCTGAGCTGATGAGGGCATGAGCTGCGAGGGACCCTCCTCAGCCTCTTGTGAAGGGCCCTGGAACAGCAGGGAATCAAAACTAGTGTCACTTTGCCTGTTATTGTCTTATCTCTTTTAGTGACTCATTATGTGCAAGTTAATGAATCAATACTAGAAAGAGCACTACAAAACAAGAATGATTGTTAACATTTCATTAAGTTATTGCGTGCGAGGACATAGTTCCAGCTGTCAGACCTAGAAATGTGAGGAAGACGACAGTTATGTCAGGAAACCAAAAAGACAGAGGAAGAGAACAGTTAGATCAGGTTTCCCCTCTCTATATTGACTCATTCTTCCCCTTCGCATGCGTGCGTCTGAGAAAGGGAGTCAATCTCAACGGTTTCAGTTCTTGAAGCATCGTTGACAAACTGCTAGGTGGCGAGGATTCGATAAGGCAGACAAGGCATCAAGAGGACTACCCACTTTGGTGGCAACTGTTGCGCAATGTTTTCGTTTGAAAAATTAACAAGATGGCTAAAAGAACCAAGGCTTCTCAGAAACACTTGGGCGTAAATTCAGCAACACTGGATGTCACCAAAAGATGTCTGGAGGTGTATCTGGGGAATTCAGCACCACCATCTGTGCATTTCCAAGAACTCGTCATATCCTCATGAAGTCAGTTTACGTAAAGCACAGGGAACACGTGCATTGGCACTTTTGCTATTTACATCAAATGTACCAAAGCAACGGCAATTTTAGCAGTTTTACACTTGTCTGATACCACATTGTGTACTTGGGTCCAAAGGTTTATTTCTCACATGCTCAAGTAAATATGAAGTGAAATGCAATGTGGCATGCTCCTAATGTAGTGCTAAAAGTATAAATATAAGGATAAAGATGCAAGAATATGTGCAAAAATTTACACATGTGACACGCGCTAATGTGCAATGTGCAAGGCAGTGCAAAGGATTCTCTGTCGACAATAGGCTGGACGAGGTTGAGGATACACAGGAGGTGAGTGGACAGAGTCAGACTAGTACAGTGTTGCACTGAGGCACACTAGATTCTATGAGAAAAGACGGATATAAAACTACTGAAGGATTGCTTTGAGGTAGGCAGAGGAGCAACCCATCTACTCCCCTTCCTCAATGTATGATTATCCAGTACTGAACTAGTGAAAACATGTTAGTTTGGATTTAGATGTCATAAAATATACATCAATGACTATCAATTACTTAGTACACCTAGGTAAAACTAATGCATTCTAATACAACAACCTGACAACTTAGTGGCTAAGACGAGGACTCCTTTTGTATAGTCATCACCCTCTGTCTCTTCATGTTTCTTGTCTGTCTCTCTCTACCATCACTATTAATAAAGGCTAAAATGCCACAAAAAGTATCTGTTCAAATGGGTTTTGAGCGTAGTTTAGGTTTGACGATCTGTGCTTGAGACAAGCTTATGACATTCATGAATAGTTAAATGAGATTGTGCTTTTACAAGTCCTGCATCATAAACGTAACTGACATTAGTCAAAAGGAACACGTGTGACACAAAATGAGATTTCTGTTCAACTGAAGCAGAGGGTGTATTCCTCTATAGTCACACGCTCTCAAAAGGGACCTCAGCTTCAGCATAATATAACACTAACATATTTAAAACTAAAAAACACTGACAAGGTGAAAAATAAGGTAGGTAAATCTGCAGTGGTATTATATAACAAGTATTAAATTGCACATGCTTAGAGGCTAAAGATGATTTAATGACCTGTAATAAGATTATGAGCCAATTGTTATACACACATATATATATATATATATATATATATATATATATATAATCAGTAAACATGGCTCTGAAAGTTATCTCATAGAGCTTAGCATGGAAATGTATAATAACTCATCTTATAGGCAGACCTTGTTTCAGTTATATTAAACAAAGTCCCATTTAAATGAATTCCTAATAAGTTTTCAGTTGAGCAAAACTCGTGGTTTAAAGTGCCACATCAAAACAAAACTGGTCCACCCTACTACCCTTTTAAAGATTACGTTTTCCTCACCTGCTGCTCTTCAGTTACTTCTTGAACTACTTTCTGGGGCTGTGGAAAGAGACGGAACAGAATTCATTAAACATGAAGGAAAAGCCACCCTCAAGGACTGGCAGCTCCAGCTGACACCTGGGAGGCTTTGGACATACATTTACAATCAACTCCATGATGTCTCTAACTGTCAACTATTGCTCCATACCCATTTCCTCGGTCGCCCACGTGGTCGTCTCTCCCCAACGGGCTCTACTTTCTGAGAAAGAACAGATGAGTGGTTAAAAGGAGGTTTGAACAGTCCTGTTATACTGATCAATGACTATGATTAAGGTTTATTTTATTTGAGAGCCATTTTTACCGCTATAGCTCCTGCAATGGGGAACATTTCTGTCAGCAGCTACAGATGTTTTTTTCTATAAACTGTATTAATGATAACTAAAACGTTATTTGAGAATACTTTTATTTGATTTTACAAGCACAGGTTAAATGGCCTGCATTGTTGGCACTGTCAGCAGCTGCAACAAAACTCGACTCTTTAGTGATAAACAGAAATGTCTTTTCTCTCCATCCACTGAAACGTCAACACGTACAATGCCTGCACAGCTGTATATCCAATAAAATCCTGCACATGGGTCAGCTTTCACTGTATGTCTCAACATAAATGACTCTCACAGCAAGAGTAGAAATATTTTAAACAATTAAATGGTTGTAGTACACAAATGGCATTTTCTGGTTTTATATACACACACAACTGTTTTAAGAAATGTTCAGTTTCCCCACATTTGAAAACACAATGTATTTGTGTAATAGGCATGTCTAATTGCAGGCCCAGGCATGAAATAACTTGCTCTGTTGAAGTTATGTTTCCACATTTTTATAAATGGATTCACTATGTTATAGATCTACTACATGCTACAAAATGCACAGGCAGCTAAGGGGTCTTGACCAAGATTGCATATGTGATGAGTTGGGGTGTGAGAATGTATTGGGTTCGATTGGAAAGCTGCCAGCAGGGGCAGTGCAACAACTTTCCCTCCTGATACAACAGGCTTCTGAAAATCCTCAGCAAAACTACGGTGTACATATATACATACATAACAGCAGCGTAATACTAATGTGGTGGAGTAGACACAAAATGTCCCTCTGAAATGTAGTACATTAAAAGTATAAAGCATAAAATGGAAATGACTCGATACATGACTCGCTGCACTGACCATTCCATCTTTGAGCACTGCAATATTTAATAACGGTGTGTTTTCAGCTGACATTTGCCCTCAAGGTGTCTGCTGACTATCTAGTGTCCCTACAAAACACATATCTTTGCATTTCAGGACATATTACATGGAAAACTTTCAGATGCATCTAATGCAGATGCACTGGAAAGATAAACCTGTTAAGCTCATATAGAGCAATTTTTTTTTACTTGTAGATGCCTGCTACCATCAACTGTGAAACAAATTTGTTATCTGTTACTGGTTTCATTTCAATTAAAGTAAGAAGTCACAGGTAAGTCCAAATTCTTTTTTATATTATCCAACGTTAGGATATTTGCAAAAAAAACAACATTTCTTGTGATTCAACAAAAAGTCAAGTTCAAAAAGTTCCTGACTGGCAATGTAAATTGTATTCTTGTAAAGTTCAAATATCTTAGATACTCTGATTGGTTTCAACCTTCAGTGCAGTTCTGGGGCCCTTGTTCTTGCTGCCTTTCGGTCGTCCTCTCGGTCGCTTTGGAGTCGGTGGTCCTACAGGCTCCTGTAAGAAGAGATCAAATGTGGAGCCAATAACTAACTAGTGAAAAACATTTGTTTGAGCTGTTTTCTACAGCCGGGAGACACAGACACATAACCAACTTGAATGCCCTTTTCATTTTTCAATTATATTCTTAACAATTTAAGGTTAAGGACAGAAGTGATCAAATCCATCTTTTAAAAGGACTGATGTCCAACCTGCTGCTGTTTCCGTGGCCGACCCCTACCCCTGCGCTGGGGCTCAGGAGGTGACTGGGCGGTGCTCGGCTGGGGAGACGGCTCTTTGGTCCCACTGTTACTCATGCCTGCGTCTGTCCACCTGCTTCAAAGAGTGTGGGCATCAACGCTTGGAGGAGTGGCCTCAAGGGCTTAAAGAGGAGAAGACCTGAGTATCAGGAGCTGGAGATGTGAGCAAGGAAAAGTAAAAAGAAAAATGCTACTTTTGAATGCAGTCAGTGTAGCAACCACCTTTGGAGAATTTAGGAAAATCAGCTCTAATACACCAATTCTTTGTTAATTTTACACAATTGCTTTCACAGTTTCAGTCGGTGCCTAATGTATCATTAAAAGGATAATTCAGAATCACACACACAGGACCCTTTTCTCAGAGCAAGCGTGGGAACTGCTTATACATAAGCCTTGGCACCGGGTTCATCGGAACACAGGCAGGGGTCTGGCAAACGCAGGGAAACATGAGAGTGGTGCCCAGCGACTAAAAGTAGCACAGATATTCACAACTCAATCTACCATCCAAAATCTGCATCTACTGTACTGTATGCTGCCTTTCCATGTGCCCTCTGTGAGGTATTTCTCAATGGGGGTGTGCATGTTGTAGCTGTGCTGATGCTGCTACAACTTTTACTGTAAAACTTGTGCAGCTGAGACAATAATTTAGAATCCCACACACGAAAAATAACTACTACATGCAAAATCTTAATGGAAAGAATCACCACAATATGACAAACCATTGACAAATCTGAGTTTGCAGCCTATAGTGAACTTCAATCAACAGAAAATGTATCTGCAGCTACTTAGATAATCAATTAGCATACATTTTCAACATTCAAACTTTCTATGGTACCAGCTTCTCAATTTTTATTATTTGCTGCTTGTGTCTTCTTCCAAGAAATTGTCAGAAAACGCCTAACAAGCTCCAGAGCCCAAGGTGACATCTTCAAATTGGTTGTTTAGTTTGACCCACAGTCCAAAACCCAAAGATATTCAGTTTACTATCACGTAATACAAAGAAAGGCAGCGGATATTTACATTTAAGAATCTGAGGAAATAGCTGACATTTTGAAAATGGAAAAACAATGAATCAAAATAGCTGCAGATTAATTTTCTAATGATCAACTAATCAATTAATTGTTTCAGTAGGCTACTAGTGAATCATAGGTCTGATTAATTACACCCCTATGTTAATGTAAACAATGTATTCTTTTGTAATATGATATTTCTGGTTCTTTCCTTAAAAGTAACATCCCATTCGCTAAATTAATTTACTTTTTATTGCGTGAGTAAACAATAAAGTATCAACTTTAAGTTGGCTGTGGTCCCATGGTGGTCGTTCACCATAACGTCTAGCTCTGTCAGGAATGTGCCAAACACTAATTGCCAACACAGCCTATCAAAACGGCCGCACTGAAGCAGGAAGTCAAGAGTAATTTGAGAAATCGACGTCCTCGTTGAAACGATTTAAAGACAAACCGAGACGCACGACGTCGTTTCGTCGCTTAAAATCTGATTTCGGGGCAACACAACAAGCGTCCTGCACTTCTTCCACAGCAGAAGACCGTCCGCTTAACTCGTCTGTGTTTGGCAGTCATGTACGGGACTGAATGTACTTTTTGCATATGGGCGGCAATTGCGACCATGAAAACACGTTCTTTTACAGCCTTTAAAGAAGGTGCGTAAAGCGCTCCTGCAGCGATGCCGTAAGTTCAAACCTTCCCCGACTTCGCTTGAATAACTGGCGCTTGTAAAAACGCCAAAACAACAGTCGAGGCCATCTGTGTTTTAAAGCGTAAAGTCGGCGCTCACCATACAACATCCCCCTGCTTCCATCACTTGCGCAATCGATCTTAAATGTGTTGGGCTTTTGCAGTGATAACAGGTCCACCGAAGTGGATGGTCCGAGTGTCTGCAAGAGCTGCAAAAAAATTCAACAACAAGGACAAAGGCGAGGAACACAGGTGCAAAAGCTCTCCTTTCAAACCAGCCTGAACATACATACATACAGACATGCATTCAGGCTATAGGCTCCATGTTCAGCCTGAGTAATCCTGTCCATGCAGGCAGCGCCAAATGCAACGCTGAGAGCAGAGTACAGCTTACCTTGGGTCGGTTTTGCCGTTTTACCTGGAAGTTCACACAGTCAGCTCACTTTGTGCCCCTGCACAACTATGAAAATCTTAGTGTATCGACCGTCTCATTGGTTGGAATGAAAGGGTAAACTCTCTCTCTTTCTTTCTCTCTCTTCCCCCCTCTCTCTCTCTCCTCCTCCTCTAATCGGAAATCTGTGTGATCCCCCCAGACGTCCAGTCACGAATACCCCAGTTGCAGTATAATTGGGGGTTGTAGCTGAGCAGTATGCATTGCATACTTTCTCTATTAAAGCATGTTTCAAGAAAGAAAGAGGGTAGGAGGGTTGAAACAAGAGGACCCCGCCCCGAAAGGCTCACCGGACCACCCACTTAAGAGAGGGAAAGACGGCGAGAGAGAGAGAGAGAGAGACGGGCATCAGACAGGAGGGTAGAGTCTGGTTCCGGGGTTCCCAAAGTGGGGTCCAGGGGCTGGGAAGTTCCCCACAGAAGGGAGAAGAAAAAGTTAGTTTGCTTCAGTAGAAATGATGGTGAGATCAGACTGTCTAGACAGTTTCCAGCAGAGGTTTCATTCTCTCTCTCTCTCTCTCTCTCTCTCTCTCTCTCTCTCTCTGTTGTTAGATCCCCACCTACAGAGATATAATTTTGTAAGTTATAACAAAGGACAGAAATATCAAATGGGAATGAGAACAAAGTCTGCAGGGCAGCCATCTGATGTGCTTTTGTTTGGGGGGGAAATGGACCCCAGTTTGGCTCATTTAATCATGCACTACATGCAAGCAGACATTAGTGAGCAGTAAAAGAACATGCATATATGTGCCCCCAATGTGAGCAAAAAGACACATATTCCTTTTAAGTTTCTTATGTAGAAGTTTTTATTAGACACCATCTGAAGTTTTTTACCTGTCTCTTCTTTTTATTCTGTTGTACATGTATATAGTAGCCTATTTTTGGAATTAAAGCTTCCCATTCAAGTTCGCAATCAGAGCCCCACAGCTTTGAAACATGCTGCCTGAGGAAATCAGGTCAGCAGAATTAATTATCTCTTTTAAATCACTTCTTAAAAAATCCTTTTATCAGAATGCTTTTATTTGCTTTGATTCTTACTGTCATTTTGCTAGTTTTGTTTGCTTTATTAGCTTGAACTTGTATTTTGATCTGCTTGTTATGAAGTTGCTGCCTTGTGTGAAGCACTTTGTAACAAGGGTTTAGAAAATGTTTTTTTTAAAATAAAGATTATTATTACATTTTTGTTGCATGTAGGTTTATGCTTTACATGCTGCCTCAGGTTTGATTGAATTAAACCTAAAATCATTCTTCTTCAAGAGGCAACTTTGTACATTTGCACAAACTGATAAATACAGATGGAAATGTTTGAACCTCAGTGAATACACATTCCAGGGACGGCTAAAGCCGGGCCGCTCGTGGAGTCATGTCAGGTGAGCGTGCTGGCATGAGACCAAAATATAAAGCTTTAAGTTACAAAGATGAAGCACAGAGCTCCATTTGAATGGTTTATGGTGTCAGTTCCAGGATGTTGTTCAGCCATACACACAATGAATATCTTGGGAAACCTGAATGTAACACTTTGAAAAATTCATAATGAAATGTTGAAGACACAAACATTTGATCTCATTCAGGCTACACATTACCATGGTAGGCAGAAAACAAAATAACAAAGAAACTATTTGCATATTTGTGTGGCAGAATCTATTTAAAATGTTAGTCAGGTTTTCCCTGAAGCTTTCAGCAACAGTTGCTGAGAACCAGTAGTCATATATGAATTTGATTAGTCATCCACTATAAATATTACTAAATGAAAGTGAACAGAATGACGCTGAAATCAAACTGTCAACCTGCCATTTCCAAACACTGCGTGCAGCAGGAGGATAATTGACCATCATTAGTTAGAGGGAACATGTTCTACACTTCAGTCCTTTTACGTCATATTTCTGCAAAAAAAAAAAAAAGTCAGTATCTTCTGAATATCGAGACAAAAGAAAAAAATGTCGGTGTGAAAATTTCCAAGAGACGGGGGGGGGGCGGCAGAGAGTTCAGTGCAGACTGGTGTGTCTGAGATTCGGTTGGACTCTGATCTTGAGGTTTATTTAAGCTGAATTCCGTGGGCTCATCAGGACCGGGTTACAAAAATCCTCCTATAGAACTAGAAAGAATGTGCAGCGCATACAGTTCTGCATAAGGCACAAAGGCATGTCTTTAGAGGTGGGGGCAGGCATCAAAAGACAGGCAGAGGAGGGATTTCTTTAGAGGCTGGGGGCAAAGAAGGTATTTCGGAGCTCCATTCAATGCCAAGGAGAGGAAGGGGAGGCATACAGTTTTGTGGTAAAGGGTACATTTCCAGGGGATATTAGAAACTTAAAATGTGTGCTGTAAAGCCCCCACACCTACCCTGTTATTGGAAGTTACTTAGTTCCAGTTATTCTCCTCTGAACCTGCGGGGCTACAATTACTTTTTATCCCTCCATCCGTTTTAGTTTTTGGTAAATAAATAACAAAAAATGCTAACACTTCACTTTAAGTCCTCATATTTATCAATTATAAGCAGCATATAAACATTGAATGACTTGTTTATGTTACAATATAAAGTAGCTGTAAGCCGCCAAAGTGTTTATTAATGTATTTGTCAACAACCATAACCCCTCTTCTCACTTCTCTGCGTGGTTTTTCATCTCAGTATAAGTGATTATGTTTTGTGAAAATAAATGGTTTCAGCTTATTCTGTCGTCTCGCAAGAATGAATTGACATTAAATGCTCTAACTAAGTTACTCTGGCAGAAAAGATTCACTAAATATGTGGATATACTGTAACAAATTTCTGTGCTCTCTTTGCACCACCCCCTTTTCTGATGTTGTAATTCTTATAATAAAATATATATGATAATAAACTTTTGATTGTTAATATTTTTAATGTAAAACAGACTTCTGAGAAAAGAAAAAATGTATGAGTCAATAACTGGTCTTGAGGGCTTTGACTGCGGGTTTGATCAGTCCCTTGCTGGACGGCAGTCTCTGTCTCTAAGCCATCTCCATGACCTTCTTGATCCAGTCCACATACACAGAGACCCGGATGAAGATGTTGGGCTGCCCCGGGTGTCCGCAGCGCCTCATGGGGATGATCACACCCTCGAGTACCCAGCAGTCCATGCTCTTACACGCCAGTGGGCCACCGTAGTCTCTCTGCAGACACACAGGAACAACACTCTGGAGTCATTATTTGTCTCTGTTATGACTGACTGTCACTGCTGAGGTTGGAAACATCTTGCAGTCACATCTTGTCCAGTCCACCTCCATTATCCAAATGGTGAATGTGTTTGATTATAGGAACATATAAATAGCTGCACGCTCTTTACTTAAAGTGATTTCCATCATCAAAAGATTGTCTTCACCATCACTATTTGAAGTATTAATTCTTTCTTGCTGAGAGGTAGCTGAAAGACTGATACCACTCTCATGTCTGTACGCTAGGCCAGCTGTGCTAAGGTAAGCTAACTGGCTGCAGGCTCTGGCTTCATATTTAGCAGATAGAGAGTGGTGTTGATCTTTTCATCTCAAGTCTCAGCAAGAAAGCAAATGAGCTTAATCCCCAAAATGTGTAACCTAGTGGTTAAGACGTGTACCATATTAAGCAAAATGTCCCTGTGTTTGATACTGTCTGGGAACATTTGTTATCTAATAAAGGCAAGATGCAAAAAAAAAAAAACATACATTAAAAATGAAAATATCAAATGAAGAAATTCTGCTGTAGCTCTAGGGTAAAACTATTCTACTCAAAATGGACAATTGTGCTTTAAAACTGTGCACACTGTATGCATGCTTGTATGGACACCCACCTCACAGGCGCCTACCCCACCCTGAAAAGAGCTTGTGCACATCTCATTCTCACGGACACGACCTCTGAAGTATTTGTTGCATTCCTTGTTACTAAGAACTGGTATCTGGGCCACGTTGAGGACGGTCTCATCTCCAGTCCCTTGAAAAACAGTGAGAAGAAAGAACGAGTTAGCAGCTAATGTGTTTAGAGAGATGGAGAAAGGAAGAGGAAGGTGGACAGATGTTGAACGCTTCTGGAAATAGCAACGCCATCTGTTGCTCAACGGCCTGTATGGCTTTTGGCCTTTTTTTTAGATGCGACATTACTTCAAGGGCAAAAACAAGATGCACGTTCTGAGGAAGCCATCTATTATTAATTATTGCAATAGAAGCATATTGTAGTTGAATGAAGCACAGCATGTAGTGAAGTCAGTATCAAGTTATCACTTCCAAAGGTGTATACTTGCCTTTCGTTTCACCCCATCCTGCAATCTCACAGTTCGTCCCCTCAGCTACAATGTAGCGCTCAGGAGGGAGGCAGATCTGAGAGACACGCTCATTAAACTGGGCAGGGCTAGAGAAAGAACAGAGAGTCAGAGGGAAAGTATTGGTATGTCTGAGTGTGTGTGCATGCATGTTGGGGCACTTAGCAGTACACACTGTTCCAGTTGCAGCATGACCAGCTGAGACTCTGAGGGTCCACAGACAATCTTGGTGAGAGGGATGGTTTGCACACCAGACTCTCCTTCTTGTGGATCACGAAACAGTGTTCCCATCTTGGCCGAGTACCCGGGCAGGTCAACGTAGCTGTGCACACAATAAGATGAGTAAACATGGAAATACAAGCAAGTACACTTTTTTCCTTCATGTCTTGTCTTGAAATATCCCCATGTCTTCAATTTAAAGTCATGCTAGCGGCTTTGTGAGGCTAAATGCTACTGTCAACATGCTCTCATGGTCACAATGACAATGCTAACATGCGTATGCAATGCAGGTACAATGGTTACCATCTTACTGTACTTTAGTTTGTTGGCATGCTAACATTTGCTAATTAGCAAATGAAACTCAGTTTTACTCTATAACTTGTTGCATTGTGACAATAAACCTACCTACCTAAACACAAAGTACAGCTGAGGTCAATGGGAATGTCATTCGTTCTGCAGATATTTGGTCATAAACTAAAGTATTGGACAAATTTAAATGTTTGACCACTAGAGGAATCCAAAAAGCGATAGGGACCACCAGACCAACCGACGACCAACCGACAGAAACAGTTAAAAATCAAAGCAGCATAGGCTGAGATATCCTAACTTGCAGTAGTGTCGGTTAGTTGTCATTTGTTGTTGTTGTTGGTAATTAAATAACAAAAAGTTGCAAAACTTCTCATGCTAAATCTTCTCTGCATGGCTTTGTTTTACACCTCAGCATACATAATTATGTTTTTGGAATATCACAGTTCTCTGCTTATTCTGTCTGTATGCTGTGCACAGGTATTTTGTTGCTTGCAAGAGACAGTTCATGAATTGTAACGACCCTACTGTTGGGTGGTACAACAAAATAAAACCTCCAAAAGCCTTACCAGGAGGAAAAACACTGCTTGGTGCTGATCACCCATCTGGCGTTTACCAGGGATCCTCCACAGAAATGGTTTCCTTTCCTGCACACAAGAGGTCAGAGGTCATACAGAGGCACAGCAGAGTGTATTTGTACTTGTTCATGGCCAGCCCAAACACCATTAGACTGACCTGTCCCTGAGGCTCACTGTCCATGGCGAATTCCCGGGAATCCCATTCACAATCCGCAACCTGGAAACCTCGAAGCGGTCCTCTCTCTTCCCGCACTCACTAAACCCACTGGGCTCTGCTTTCACAAAAGGTGACATATTATTGTAAAGAAACACACGAGATGGATTGTTGTTAACTTGAAAATGGAGCTTCATATTAACTGAGAAACTAACCTACTGGTTCAGTCATGGGCGATTTCTCTCCAGCTGTTTGAAAAACAACAAGAAGCAGATGAATTGTTAAATTTCCTGTCAGAAAACCAGAATCTCTGGATGAATTGTCACCACACAGTGCATTAAACTAC